ATAACGTAAAGTAAGGGAAGGCGATACACGTAGCTCCCGGGGTCACTATACAGGGAGTGGAGTGGTCAGGGGCTCTCGGGAGCGTGTAAAAATTGAGTAGCAGCAGCAGGCAAGGGTAAGTAGGGTCAGGTGGTCAACATTACTGCCACTTGTGCGGTACTTAGGCTTGATGGTAGGAACACATGTTTACTGGTCCACCTACTACTACCACCACCTCTCCATCCCATACTCTAGGTTTACTACTATTACTCCTACTCCTACCAACACCATACACATCCCAACTACACTCCTTATCACCACACTCCCTCTCACTGTGCCACTAATTTCCTTCTCATTATCACCACACCTACCTCTCACCCCCCACCCAATACTACTAGCTACGGTGTACAGTATAGCTGGTACTGGATCAAGAGTTGAACCATAATAATCTGGGCACGTAACAATAGGAAGCAGAATGTGTATAACAGTATTGGAATAAACAGTGTATAGTATTATAATTCTTCAGGACAACAGCTGTCACAAAAGCTGCGTGTGTGGCCTTAAACAAGATATATACTGTGCCTTACCTGGCGGGGTGGGTGGCTGATCAGTGTCCCAGTCTATGGTGTGGACACTGGGTCGGCTCCACGAGCGCTTGCGGGCATGACGACCCACTGGACGAGACAAGTTTGAGAAATCTTCCTCCTTGATGGGGGGGTCGTCGGTGGTGGCGTGAGGTAAGGCAGTGGAAGTTTGTGGGAATAGTAAGGATGCAGGAAGTTCAGGGATGGAGCGTGGCCTGGCACCTTGACCCCCGGTGTGCCGGTGCCACGTGTGGGTGGCACCTTCTGGGCGAGGGTGCCACGTGTGGGTGGCACTTTCAGGGCGAGGGTGCCATGTGTGGGTGGCACCTTCAGGGCGAGGGTGCCACGTGTGGGTGGCACTTTCAGGGCGAGGGTGCCACGTGTGGGTGGCACCTTCAGGGCGAGGGTGCCACGTGTGGGTGGCACCTTCAGGGCGAGGGTGCCAGGTGTGGGCGGCATCCCCGGCAGTGTGTCCATCCCGCCTCACCACCGTTGGTTGACACGTGTTAGCACCCGGGTCACTGCCACGCCGCCGCTCCTCCTCACACAACGCATCCCAACTCCCACCGCCGTCACCTGTAGCCTCACTCTTTCTGATAGTGGCCATTTCACTGTCATCCAGGAAGAGGAGAGGCTCACCCTCAGTCACAACATCGGAGCCATCACTTTCTGGGCTAATTACCCCATCACCACCTGGGGCGTCACACTCAGTCCCTTCTAAGGCGCCACAACCATTACTATGTTCGTCCTTCCCCGGCGCCGGCGGAGAAGGACAACACTGAGAATAAGACACTAATGTAACAGCCTCATTACTACCAGGATCCTCACCAGAAGGCTGCATGGTAACTTTACCGGTGTGGTCGTTGTGTTCCTCCTCACCCAAGGCTGTTTCCTGGGGCGGGTCAAGGGTAGTCTCGACCCTAGGCACAGCTCCCCGCAGCACGTCCACAAGTCTGGGCTGATTTCCCAAAGGCAGTCGCAACACCGAAAAGTTTCCTACGTCCAAACTTCTAAATCTGTTTCTAAAACCTTTCATCTTATTTGCAGGTGTGACAGAGTGGGCGGCATTTGGGCTGGTGGGCTGGAGGTGTCGCGGTAAAGAAGTCCATTTATTGAGGCACTGATGGCTATGGGATAACGCACTAGGGTACCCTGACAGTGTGTCGGCCCAGCGTTTTTCCTCTAACACCCGGAGGGCTTCTGCATACGCTCTACTTTCTGGCTGATCAACATATTCAGATTGGTGCTTTTGAGGCAATATATCACCAGGTAAAGAACACTGATCCTTGAGTAAATACTGACCCGAGTCCTGAGAGTATGTGGGGGGAGTGTCATCAAGAACCTGTTTCACTCTTGACGGAGAACATCCCGCGTCTTCTTCCGGCTCACTACACGTACACGTTAAACTATTTACTTTGCACCAGTGACTATCTGCACCGTAATCTTTATCAGCACTATCACAAGACGCGGCTACACTATCTCGTGTGTCCTCACATACCGACTCTTCCATTACACTAGCAGGTCGGCTGCTCCCCGCAGATAACGGCTCATACCCTAGTCTGGCACTAGAGGGTGAGTCATCGGGCTCCTGGTCACTATCTCCACACCCGTAATAGTGACTCACCACACCATTACCTTCGATTATAGTGTAATCCTCAACGTGATTATTCAGCCCAAACTTGAGTTCTGCCAATGCCTTGTTGGGCGACTTATCAATATTATCTGGACGCTGAGCAGCACTGTCTGGTGAACTCAAATCTTCAGCCATGTCTGGTGAAGTGTCAATATTGTCTGCACTTTGACTTTTATTTGACGTGCTAGTAAAATTTTCAACTTGGGTATTAATTGGTGGGAAAACAGCATTTTTCTCCCGGAGATTGTTCGGTGGGCTGTAATAGTTATTTTGGGCGTTACTTGGTGAACAAAGAATATTTTCTGTCTGCTTTTTAATTTCATCGTCTGATCGTGAGTGTCTCAGCATGACAGACTCCGAGGTCGGTTCGCCTTTGATTCGAGATGTAAGTTCGAGCTGTGTGAGGTTAGTGGTGGGTAGGGAAGCCAGCCTCCTTTCTCCTCTTTTTTCGGTATTCATAGGAACCATTACTGACTTTTTCTTTCTTCTTCCAGGAGCTTTAGAGTAATTTCTTCTGTCATCATATATGCTGAACTGTCGCGCTGCTCCTTGTTCCGAACTTCCGCCCCTCTGTTTTTCCGATTCCCTGGTCCTAACATACTCATGTTCGCGGCCACTTGGGTCGTGACGGGCGAGGCCTGAATAACCAGGTGAAGAAGTACGGTAGGAATTGGTGCCATGGCCGCTTGTTGGACTGTCACTACCATAGACGATCTCTCGACCCTCCCTGATACACGACACTGCCGCGATGTGCATCTCAGGCCTCATATATAGAGACGACACTTTGCTGGTCACGTCGGGCCACCGTATCATGTCAGTCTCACCCATGTTACCTCCCAACGAGTGGTCACTCAAGGCTGGGGAGTTGAAGGGCTTGGTGGTGTTTCTTGGTGGCCTCTCACTGCTCGTGTCAGCGGTCCGATTGGCGTGAAACCACACGTTTCTCCTCATCTGCACGCTCTCTACGTTGGCGTTGACGGCGTCGTAGTTGTCCAGGGTGGTGGCGGACACCTGGTTCATGCGGATGACCACCTGTGATAACTGGCTATTTGACCTACTGACTTTTTCTTCTTCATGACCTGTCCGCCAAGCCGTCACCTGTTGTAGCTGCTTCTTCTGGCCATCGTCCAGGGTGCCGCCGTAGTGGAGGGAGACGTAGGGGTCACCCTGTAAGCCCTCAGAGGCACTGTACTCTACTCTGGTACGTGGCTTATTGTTATCTTTCTTCCGCCTCTGATGGCGTGGCGTAGGTCGTGGCTGGTCGTCGGCACGACTTCCTGATTCTTTCAGGCATTGTGGTGTCAAAGTGAGAGTGGATACGTGAATCCCTCTCTGACGTCGCTCACATGAGCTTCGAGTCCTCTCCCTGCCCTCCTCCCCAGAAAGCCCACGAGTGCCGCTGTGGGGAACACGACTATGGTGTCCTCGCTCCCTCGGCCTTCCCTCCCGGTGCCTCACCAGGTGTGCAACTTGATCGTCCGCCACATATATTGCAGTAGGGCGAGGCCGGGAGTTTGGGCGAGGGCTGGATGGTGGCGAAATGGCAGGGCGGGACGAGAACATAGAGGGGTTGTCACGATGGAGAGCCTTCACCTGTGGGATTTGCTTAATGGTTACAGAGTCCAGAAGCGGGTCAGACCTTCGTTTAACACTGTCAGCTGAGGCCGAGCGACGAGGGGGCATAGATCGATGACCGGGACTTCGATCTGCCAGCGAAGGACCATCTCGGCGATGTAACACTACTTCAGGCGGGCGTGGGTCGTGGCCCAGAGCACCTGGGTCGTGCACGGGGGTACGGGGGAGGTTATAAGGCGGGGGGTGGCCGCTGTCTGGAGTGGGCCGTGCTGGTAAAGTGGCTGCTTGTCGGGGTCGGTTCTGATACGAGCGACCGTCCGGAAAATGCGGTGTACTGCGGGACTTGCTCGGCCCCCAGCCGCTGGCTCCCTTACTCTGGTTACTCTCGGTGAGGCCCATGACTGTGTGGCCACTCACTACCTTTCACTGACTCCAACCCACGCCCCTCCTCGCACACACTCGTCATCGTCTACTACACTCATCCTCACTACAGTTATTAAGCACTTTCTGGCACCATCTTTCTTATAATAGTCACTGAAAATAAGTGATAACTTGTAGGCATACGAGAACTAAGAGCTGCACCGACAAGTGAGACAAAAGTTACCACCGAGCAAAAATGACCCGTGAAGTGGCAGTATCACACACTATACTTGCTACTCATCCAAGAGTCAATACATTCCACGTGAAGGGATAATTGTTTACTTGTTTTTATGACGGAAATATCCCTTACTGGGGGGTTGGCTGGCAGAGAGGGCAGGACAAGTTACCCGCCATACACACATTCTATATTAATAATTGACCACCTCAACCTATGACTACCGCTTCCACCGCACACAACATGAGTGAATTTATTTCTCTACCACAACCCAAAAGAATAAGTGTGTTAAGGTAATTAGCAGAGGAGTGATGTGTGCGTGTGAGGCCGCCGCGCCGCTCCCCTGCTATTACGTGCTGACCTCCAGGCTTCAGCACCCACCACCTTTGATATTTACCTGTCTTAAAGGTCACAGTTGGTCTCTATACTAACTCAACTCTGGCTGGTGCTGTAGACTACCCACAATACCATCCACACCACTACTAACCACCATCACCAACAACCACAACTACTACTACTATTACCATCACCACACTAATCATTCCATCATCAATGTTATAACTATCAACATCACCATTACCATCATCATCACCACCTTCAACACACTACTACCAACACCACTACCAATAGTACTATGCCAATACCACCGTCACCACCACCACCACCACCACCACCACTAATTTTCAGGTGATAAAAAAAAATTATATATATGAAAAATAAAACAAATTAAATCATTCTTAAGGTAACCCATCAACACACCCCATCATAAAAAACATGAAGATTAACAACAAATTCATCGACTTTCCCACAGTCCTATAATGGTGTAAGTAGACTGGTTGTGACGGCAGGGAAGACGCTGTGTAAAGTGGTGCTCATACGCTGGTTAAGATGTGTGGTAGTTGTGGCGGGGTGGTGGAGATAGTTGTGGGAGGAGGCGGGGATGGTAGTTGTGAGGGAGTGGTGGTGATAGTTGTGGGGGAGTGGTGGTGATAGTTGTGGGAGGAGGCGGGGATGGTAGTTGTGAGGGAGTGGTGGTGATAGTTGTGGGGGAGTGGTGTGTGATAGTTGTGGGAGTGGTGATAGTTGTGGGAGGAGGCGGGGGTGATGGTGGTGTGGGGGAGTGGTGGTGATAGTTGTGGGAGGAGGCGGGGATGGTAGTTGTGAGGGAGTGGTGGTGATAGTTGTGGGGGAGTGGTGGTGATAGTTGTAGGAAGGTGGTAGTGATGGTGATAATGGTGGTGGTGTTAGTAGTTGTAATAGGGTGACAGTGGAGGTTGTTGATGGAGGAATTAGAGTGTGGGAGAGAGGTGGTGGAGGTTGTTGGTGGGAGAGAGAAGAGGGAGGGAGGTTTGAGGTTGTTGATGTGTGTGTGTGAGAGAGAGAGAGAGAGAGAGAGAGAGAGAGAGAGAGAGAGGTTGCTGGTGGACGTAAGGTGTGTTTGTTTACCGTGTTGGTGGTGGCCCTTCATCATGCTCGCCCTGACACACACACACTCAACCTACTCTCTTGCACCTCCTTGACTTCTTCTTCCTCTTCCTCCTCCTCCTTCCGTCTCCTCCCCTACCCCTCTTCCTTCGTCTTAACATCCATCAACCCCCGTCTCTTAATTTATATTCCTCCTCTTCCCCCATTTACTCTTCTTTTTTAGTTAAGTCTCCCGCTACTAGTACTATTTACATCGGCGACTCTCTCTCTCTCTCTCTCTCTCTCTCTCTCTCTCTCTCTCTCTCTCTCCCTCTCTCTCTCCTTTACGTTGCATCATACGGTACAGTACAAAAAAGAGGTCGAACAGTATGTGTAAACGAATCTTGGAAATAAACCTTTCCAATACTTTACTATTATATTTTTTTACTTTTATTATTATTATTAGTAGTAGTAGTAAGATTTAGCAAGTGGTGAAGACATGAGTGTAACGGTTCAACAGCCACATAAGTCCACGGGACCTCCTCTCCTATGCATCAATAGGACGTGAGGCAGCAGCGACAGCGATTACAGCACCAGAGAGAATTCACCAAAACCATAACAGCAGTACCAGAATAATGAACAATATTAAAAAGGGTACTACTACAGCAGTATAATGTGAATGGCTCACGTACTACTATTACTACAGCAGCGACAGAGAGGGAACGACTACTAGTGCGGCAGTGAGAACGGCAAGGTGCTACAGCGAGAGGCGAGGTTGGGGACACGAAGGAGTGGCACCAACTACAGTAGGAGGGTTGGGTGAGAGGGGGGTGGAGGGGAGAGGCAGGTAGCGGGAGAGTGTGATCAGGGAGACGGTCGGTGGTGGTGGGTGCCGCAAGCGTAAGTATGCAGGGGCGGCTGTTCCAAAATAGCCCATGTGGTATAGTGTGCTCCCCCCCCACCAGTCACCCACGGAGCTGGCACCTCCCAACAGCCGCCGCCACACACACGCACCTTAATAGTTCTCCATACAAGGATTAACTGCATCACGTACTTTTTATACTTGGGAGGGAAAAAACTACTAATAGAATGACACCGGTGACGTGATGAGCATGGCGATGTTTCCTAAATGGCGTCCTGTAAATGTTTAACTTAAGATTCGTGGTAATGTTTAACGCCGGATATATTGTACAGGCTCAGGGCTGACATATCTTACGAGTCTTTCAGTTTAAGACTTAAATAGGTGGTCGTAAGAAACAGTTACGTGGGTTGTATTTTGTAGTTCCTCCACTTACTGAGGCAAGTCGTTTGAGAGATGAAGTGTTGTTGTCGGTGTGACTTAAGGCAACAGATTTCTTTAACTTACACTCTGGCAGCTGCTGCTCTCTGGAACATGCTGCCAACACTTACATTCACTGTTTCTCATCTTAAACACAACTAAATGCCAAACTTTGAATCTAAAAAACCTTCGTCCTTTACACTGTACAGAATTTTCCTTCTCCTGGCCGTACATTACCGTACACGTATAATCCTAGGAATCACGAAGAAACGTTTCAGCTTAAGTGAAACCTTTTCCCTACAACAATCTTATGAACGGAGAAAAATTCTCGTTTTTGCTTTACGCACAATAGGAAGAGTTCAAGGAAACACGGACATCCAAAATGTGGCCACCGACTCCTGGGATACAATGATCATGATAACGACTGACAGATACAAATGAACTTCTCAAAATACATAACGAAGACAAGTAACACGATCAAGTTAGTTTACGAGTGAGCCAGACACTAGGAGGGGGAGTTCTGTCTAACCTTGTGTTCGGTACAGGGGGTGGTGGTGTGTGGTCTGAGGACTCGTGATCGTGATGAAGACGCGTCTCTGAGGGAGAGGGGCAGCCTCACACCCTGACATCTCATACCATCACCAACCACGCCCTCACACCCTCAAAAACTACGCCCTGACCACCTCGTACCCTCATCAACCACGTCCTCACACCCCCACGCGCCACAACACCTACACCTGACTTTTATATATAAAAAAATAAGCGTGCAATTTCTCCTTCATATCACTTGATACAAAAAAAAATAAAAAAAATCTAAACTGACGACATAATTCTCGCCAGTAGAAGCAAAACACAGAGAGTGAAGGGTAAAGAATTGCGATGTAAGGTTGATAAAGTGAAGGTTTGGTGGTTATTAATACCGAACGGAGTGGTTGTGGAGGGGAGGGGAGAAGAGGGGATGGGAGGGGAAGGGTTGAGGTTGATGGACGGGCGGCTCTGACTGTGGGTGGCAGGTGGACGGCGAGAGGATGGGATGGACAGGCGAGAGAGTAAGGCCACGGTCAAAATACATCAGTTCGGCCAGAAAGGAGTCCCAGATACGCTAGCTCGCTCGCGACCTAAGACACCGTGAGTGAGAGCAACGTCTATAGACCTCTTCTTTAGACCTTGGGTGAGAGTAGATCCCGCCAGAGAGGAACCGACCGACGAACTCCACATGGGGTCAGGGAACACGCGCGCTGCTACCTCCCTCTACTTAGTAATGACCTCACTGGACGCCTCTCTCGCCCCTACTCTCACCCGCCGAAACACGCGTGAATGTCAATGAGCTGAGTAAAGTACCGCAGCTGAGTACCCCCTACTAGAGTCGCAGCCCCCCACCCGCAGTGCTACTCTCCTACACCACCACCGCCACCGCACCACACCATCACCTCCACCACACCATCACCACCGGACCATCAACATCACCGCCGCACCACCACCATCACCACCACCATCATCATCACCATCACCACCACCATCATCATTACAGTAATCATCACCAAACACACAGTACAGTAACTGGGTTGGCGGTAAATCAACATGGCACAGTCCCCCCCTAATCCTCATCTCCCGGGATTATAAACAAATAAACAGGTTGATCCTCCATTCACACAACAACAATGTACACAAACATGAACACACACAAAATCCTAACCCACATCCACACTAACCCACACAAACATCAATCCACACAAACACTAACCCTTATCCACACACACACACTACTTCTCCCTCCTTCAACATTCACTAAACTACACCCTACTACACCCTTACCCCCATTGCCCTCTCCAATTCCTCCTTCCTCCTCCTGTTTCATCGTCATCCTTTACACATCTGATTCTCCTGATCCTGTGATGGAGCTTCGTCATGTCCTGTCCTGTCCTACCAGCCATTACCACCGCAACCATTCCCTCACTAGCACCGTCACCCCCCTTACTAGCATCGCCAACCCCCTCACTAGCACCGTCACCCCTCTCACTAGCACCGTCACCCCCCTCACTAGCATCGTCAACCCCCTCACTAGCACCGCCATCCCCCTCACTAGCACCGTCACCCCCCTCACTAGCACTGCCACCCCTTACTAGCATCGCCAACCCCTCCACTAGCACGCCACCATAGAACACTCATCCATAACCAGTAACATCATCACTACCCTACAACAAACTTTACCATCATCATCAACAACCTCACCACCACACTCACCAACCAACCACC